CTTAGAGAGGGCTGAAAGCCCTACGAAGCGGTATATAAGTCTAACTGCTATTGCTATTGCTAATCACCAAGTTCAAAGAGCATCAAGAACTCCACGGTTCCACCCTGAGATACAGAGATTCTCTTCCAGGGTAACCTGAAGTGCTAGGATGTAAAAATGACGTACATACAGTACATATTTCAGGTTGGACCATGCTCTGTTGCAAAAGCGATCGCATGTTTTGAAAAACCCTGTGCATTTTACCACAACTCAGACAACATGTCCCTCTAAGCTTAAAATTCCTCCCTTGTAAAACACAATGGGTGTTCCCACCTGAGCAAATTCCGTGTGCCTTAATTTTAAAAAATGGGAAAAAAGAGTAACTTAGGTAAAGGTTCCCCTCGCACATATGTGCTAGTCGTTCCTGACTCTAGGGGGCGCTGCTCATCTCCGTTTCTAAGCCGAAGAGCCAGCACTGTCCGAAGACGTCTCCGTGGTCATGTGGCCGGCATGACTCAACGCAGAAGGCGCATGGAACGCCGTTCCCTTCCCACCAAAGGTGGTTCTTATTTTTCTACTTGCATTCTTTAATGTGCTTTCAAACTGCTAGGTTGGCAGAAGCTGGGACGAGTCACGGGAGCTCACTCCGTTTTGCGGCGCTCGGGATTCGAACAGCCGACCTTCCTGATCAACAAGCTCAGCATCTTAGCCACTGAGCCACCGTGTCCCTTGAGTAACTTACATTTACCAATAAAGGAGAATATTTACAACTCAGGGTTGAAATGAGGGGCCCTTGGGTGGTGTTCCCCGAGCTTGGCTGCTTTCTTGCAGATGTTTCGTTACCGAACTAGGTAACATCATCAGTGCTAACATTACCTAGTTTGGGTAATGAAACACCAGCAAGAAAACAACCAAGCTCGGAGAATAGCCAAGGACCCCCCCCAACAACTTATATTTATATAACATTATATAACACAGTGTTTCTCAACCTTGGCAACTTGAAGATGTCCGGACTTCAACTCCCAGAATTCCCCAGCCAGCNGTAGGGAGGGGGGAGGAGACAGTCAGAAGAAAGTCTTGGATAAGGCATAAACAGGGTGTATGGAGAGCAGAAGAGCCAATAATTGGTTTTCATTTATTTTTTAATTTTTAATTTCTTTTTTCCCCCCCGGGAGTTGATGGCAAGACGAACTGATGTAATTAATAATCAGTACAATATGATATTGGCTATGTAATAGTATACATGTGATTGTATGTTATGAAAATGGGAAATAAAAAAGTAATATGAAAAAAAAAGTGGCAGTAGTCATTCTATCCCCCCCCTCCCAAAGGAATAAACCACAGTGGGGGGAATACAGCGGGTGTTCAAGATGGAGTGCCAGCTGGGGGTGGGGGTTGATTGCAAATGAGGCTTCTCTACAGGGAAAGTTTCTAACCTCGCCCGATTAGCCTCGTGGTCGGAAGGCCTGGAGACCCGCCTGGCAGACGGAGCCGCAAAAGGATATGAGGGTGGTACACCCACAGCGTGTCGTTCAGCCAGTCCGTGCCGTTGTCCTGCTGCAAGAGGTGATCGTAGGTGACGCAGAGGAACTGGATGTCCTCGTCGTCGATCCCGCCGTTCCAGATGTCGTACAGGATGGTCATCTCCTCGAACTCGGAGCGGGGCCGGAATTGGAAGCGAGGGGGGGAGTACTCGGGGGAAGGGATCTGCAGGACGTCGTCGGGCCTCTTCTTCTGGCGCCTCCACTGCTGCCTTTTAGCTTTCAGGTAGCTCTCGTCTTCTTTGAAGTCCTCGTTCCACTGGTTCTCCAGCTCCTTGAAGGGCAGCTTCTCCATCAGGACGTCGGGAGGCAGCTTCTCGTGGAAAGCGTCGTTCCGGAAGTCCAAGGTGACCGCTTCCGGATCTTTGAGAGCATAGAAGCCCTCGGGATGGCTACCGAACAGCTCTTTGTTCACGGGACTTTCCGTCAAGGCGACCGGGATGGGAAGCAGAGGAGGGGCCGCCTCGACGGGCTTGTCCGAATAGGCCTCCAATAGGGTTCCTAAAGGTGAAGCTCGTTTCGGCCGGCCCGGTTTCCTTTTGGTGGGGAGGACGGAAGAGGGGCTGGATGGAGGGAGAGGGGGCGAAGCCATGGGGATGTCCGGGAAGGGTAAGATGGCCCTCGTGTCCGGAACGCACTCCTCTAGCGCCATCTTGGCGTCCATGAACACGCAAGGACGAACCGGGAGAGGTTGGCCGGGCGCTAAGTCCAAGTGGGTGTGGCAAACAGGGGGGCTGGCAAAGGGGATGGGGGAGGGCACGCTGTTCACGCCACCCAACAAGGAAGCGCCGAGAGGTTCTTTGAAGACTTTCTCGTCGGGCTCCTCCTCCGACGGCTTCTTGCTCGACAGAAGGCAAGGGAGGGCGGTAGCACCAGGCTCGGGGAAGGTCGGCGTGAAGGTGAAATCCCTCCCGGGGGTGCGGGGAATGCCCCCGCTGTTGATGCCAGGGGATTGGGACGGGTACGAGAAAGGGCTGCCTGGCACCGGAGGAGAACTCAGCGTCAGGCTGCTTCCAGTGAGGGGCGCCTCGCTCCCTGGCGTGGCGGGGATGGTGTCCGTGCTGTGGGACTTGGAGAAGCTGTGGGAACACTTGGCTAAAATGTCGCGGCCCGGCGTCCGGGGCAGCTCCTCCTCTAGTGCTATCTTGCTTGGGGCTAAGTGATCGGGGAACTTGTCCGGAAGGAGCAAGTATTCCTCTTTGTGAGGTGCGACGGAAGAGGGCAGGGGAAGCGAGCAGGGCGGCATGGCGGTGAAAGGAAGCCCGGCGGACTCCAAGGGAGTCACCACTTCCCTCCCGGGAGTCCGAGGAAGCTGCTCCTCTTCCTCCTCTTCCTCCTCCGCTACGCAGGGCGATTTGCCTTTTGCTTGGATTTCTAAAGTGCTGTCGTTGGGCTTAGTAAAAAAGGAGGCCTTGTTGGACAAGACTTCTCCAAAGAGTTCCACCGGGGTCGGAGGACGGAGGCCTTCACCCTCCTGGCCGTCTGATTTTGGACCGTCCAGCATCTCGGGCTCCAGCTCGACGTCTGGTTCAGACTCCTCCACTGGAAGAGGGGGAGAAAAAAAAAACAGAGGCGTGAGAGAAACTTCATATCTGCCTAAGAAACAGGATTGTGGTCCGTGCAAATCTACCCAAATTAAGCCGAGTAGATCCAGTGTTTTTGTAAATAACATGAAAATATGGATTCTTCGCTGAACGGCATTGCTGGTTGCAGACATTTCATTACCCAACTAGGTGACATCATCAGACAAGCCAACCAGAGCTGAGGTGGCGCAGTGGTTAGTGTGTAGCACTGCAGCCACTTCAGCTGACTGCTATCTGCAATTCGGCGGTTCAAATCTCACCGGCTCAAGGTTGANAGAGCTCAAATGTTATGAAATGTCAATATTCTCCCATTCTCATGAATGTGCGAGTCTTGCAAATTGGGGGGGGGGGTTTAAAAAAAATACATTGCCAATTGTGATCGGGGGGGGGCAGAGATTGGGGACCTCCTGGGCCCTACTTAGTATTGACCTAAATGTAAATATTTCTGACCAGGCATTTGTTGAATGCCTTCCGGCAGTCTTGGCCCTTCGGCCTCTGACCCAAGTACTGGACTGCGTGTCCAGTTCAGAACCAACCATTCTATTTTAAAGAGAAAAGGCAAATTCCTATGTTTTCAGGCCCAAAATTGGGTGAACTGAATCGTAAGACTTTTTGAAGTCTTATGAACCCCAAATCACGTTCCTCCCCCACTCCATGGCTTCAGGGAAACATCTTCCGAGGGGCGTCGGAAGACGGGAAACTCAGCGGCAGGACAAGAGAGAGGCTGCAGTGGATCCGGCCTGCAAAGGCCTCCATCGTCTTCCGCAGGAACCTTTGCCCTCTTCGCTCTCTTGGCCTCGTCCGACACCTCCACCGCTACGTCCCCCCCCCCAAGGACATTTCAGTGGGGGAAACCTTTGGTTTCTGCTGACCCAAACTTTGAGCTGGAAATTAGGCCATTGCCAAACTCTTGTGAGTTGCGAGCGGGAGGTCCTCCGTGTATGTCAACAATAATTATGTGGTTGTGATGGAGACACGGGAGACCTTTCACTGGACACCACATTCTCCTTTTCAGAAACGAATATTTCACAATGTTTATTATCCTGTGACCAAACTGGGGCAGGGTGCTGAAATATGTGGCCGGTTCCTCCTCCAGCCCTTTGCATCGGAGGCTCCGGGAGGAAACTCTGAAAATAAGCAAAAACAAATAAATATTTTGAAAGGAAAAGTCTTTGGGTTTTGCCCTTGGAAGACCAACCCAGGGATCGCAATGGCAGCATTGGTTACAGGGAACTAATTCATTGCAGATGTAATTAGCAGGGTTACAATTTTAAACATGAATCCGCTGCTCAAGGTAAAAGACCTTAAAAGTCTGATACCTGGAATCATTTGCAAAAGTAGCAAAGGCGGGACACACCGAAAATGAAGCATAAACGAGAGAAATAAACTGGATGTGGAGAGAGCCTGGGGCCGATGGCTCTCCTTTCCTCGGCTTTGGCCACCCAAGGATGCTGCCTGGAAGAAGGGCGGGGGGGCTGCCTGCTTCTCTCACTGCCCAGGAAGGTTTCCGCTTAGGGCCACAGCCGGGACCGGGATTTCCGTTGCTAAGGCTGGCGGTGTTGAGTGAATCACACCCGATGTGGTGACCATTTTTGCCAAGGTTGTTGAGTGAGCCCGGCTTTGCTTATCAGAGGCCAACTGCCTCCCGGGACCCTCGGACGCTGCAACCCTTGTAAAGATACCTGAGGTTTGATCCCAGCAGTTGTAAGGGCGAGGAGAGCAACCATAAGTCACTTTGTCCAGGGCCGTTGTAAATTCAAACAGTTGTCAATGGACGGTCATAAGTCAAGGACTACCTGCGTCCTAAGGGGCCATGGCTAATCCAGCAGGGCTCAGAACGGAAGCAGCACCTGCGGTTGGCTTTGGCAAGAGATCCGCTGGTTTTTTTGCCCTTGAGACGGTAGCCACAGGGTCTCCAGGCCATGCGGGAACAGAAGCTGCCATGCGCCGGGTTCCTAGAAAGGGGACTCAGTAGAATTGCTACTCAGTGGAAGGAGAAAAGATTCCCCCCCCCCTGCTAGGAAAATGAACTGGAGTTGAATCCAAGAGTTTCCCCCACTGACCAACTACCAGCCAGGCCAGTGTTTCTCAGCCTCAAAACCTTAAGCGGCTTAGTCCTTCGAGAGTTGGAGGCCACACATCTTAAAATTGCCGAGGAAAGATATAATTCCCAGGCTTCTCAGCCAGCGGCCGTGTCCCCCCCGGCAGGAGGAGGGTTCCCGGTCGCCCACTCGGCTGTCATTTGAAGATCTGTCTGGGGGTCTCCAGGAAGCAAACAGAGGTGAATAAGGAGGGTCCATTTAGGGGACGGATAAAAATATCCAAGTGCAGCTGAGCCATTAAAGTCAGGATTTTAATCCCCCACTGAGAATGTGGCTCGGAGCCATCTTTAAAATCTTCAGAGACTAGAAGAACATAGAGGGCAACCGTAGCTGTTCTGAAAATCCCTTCCCCACATCCACTGGGGAACCTTTCCTGAAACCCCCAGTCCAGGACCCTTTCCATGCCAGGAAACACTGGGAAAAGGGGGAGCACCAGAGTGGTGACGCCTGGACCCCAAATTAAATTTGCTCTGGGCCACGAAGCGAAGGGGATGCAGAGGGGATGCAGAGTTCTTCCGTTGAAGGGAATTCCGTTTTGTCTTCACACAGACTCTGCACGTGCTCATGTCCACCGTGTGTCTTCAGAAGGAGCCTGGGCAATCAAGGCTGAGAAGGGAGGAGGGCTCATGCCAGCTCTATGATTGGCTGGTGGTAAGAAACTTTATCGTTCCTTTATTCATTTGGGGCTAAAAAAACCAGAATCTCCACCTTTGGAATCCGTGGCGGAAGGAGGGCTGCCAACGTCTCAAGAGCCCTCAGCGCATGCAGCGACCTTAAATGCACCCAGAGGTCAGGAGGTCCAAGGATCCCGGGCTTTTCTCCTGCTTGCCCTGGAGTGGATTGGCTTCCTTTGGAGCCACAGTCTTCTTTGCTCAGATCCAGGACAGCCTAAGTTGCAAGGGGAGACAAAGTCACAACGGCCCCTTCGACCCTCACCCCATGCCTCCCTCCCTCCTCCTCCACCCCCTCCAGCCCTGCTTGGGACCCCGAGGGCTCCTTCTTTTCTCCTCACCCAAGGAAAAGGCTCCATCGCCATGCACAGAAAAGGATGCAGCCGCCTTCAACGTTGCGGCCTTCTCGGAAGGGCTCTGGGGAGGAAGGGCTCTGGGGAGGATGGAAGGAGGACCAGCCCTCCTTGGTTTGTTCTCTGCGAAGGCATCTGGGGGGGGGGGGTTACCTCGGCTGCTCCTTCACCCGCCAGCCTTCTCCTGCACAGAGATCAGGCTAAAGTAAAGCCTGAGTCTGTTTGTTCCCCAGATGTTGCTGCCAGCATTTTGCTGTCCAAACATCTGCAAGCCAAAAGCATCAAAAACAAACAAGCCAGGCCCCTTCGATGGATTCTAGAAGCAACGGGAGGTGTAATTCCTTCCTTTGTCCTTTTTCTTCAGCTGTGCAAACAGGAGCAAAAGGGCCGTGCACCTGTGCTACCTGAGGGAGCCCACTTCCTGTGATGAAGCTGATCAGAGACCGGCAGGTAAGGAAGGAGGAGGAGGAGGCCCTCTTGGAGAGGAGCCGGCTGTCACCTGTCCACCAAGACGGT